TATTTTATTTCAATGAAAAGCTCCGCGAAATGCAATGTTTGTTTTTGCAAAATTAGTTTGATAAAAAGGTTGCCGAACTAAATTATCATATCTCATACTGTATTTATTTTTATCTTTCAAGGTATATAATTTATGGAAAGAAACTGGGGAGGAATTTATTTTACATTTGTACATAAAACAAAGAGTATTAAAAACATTGAGCTGATATATATTAAAAATTTTCATTTCAGATAAAAGAGGCCTGGCATGAGTAAACCTGTCTTTAAAGTTGATAAGACGAGCAACATGGTTCTGCTGACGATAAAGAGGTTTTAGTTTACTTTTATTAACATTATACCAAGCAATATTTGCATAGTTTAAATGACAACGGATAAAAGAAAAATATAATTGTGTTAAACTTTGTTTATTTAAGGCATTTCTAGCCTTATATATTACTCCTATACTTTTAGCAATTTTCTTGTACAAAAAATTAGTGTGGTATTTTCAATGATATATAAATACTATATATGTATCATTATACATCATACGTTATATATATCATTGGGTATTTTCAGCTGAGGTTTTCATCAACATGGACACCTAAAAAGTTAGTATTTCTTTTTCTTTTTATTTGAATTGTCTATAAAAAGTAAGGCCAAGTTAGGAGGCAGTTGTTTCTTTTTAGAAGTCAGATAAAAGAGTGAATTATTGTCGTTAGTATGTTAAAAACAATAATTTAACAACTCCTCAATGTGTTAATAGCTCATTTGTCAGCGCATCTCAATATAATTTTTATATTTTACTTACAGGCCAACAGCTATTTTGGTGTCGGGGTATTTGCAGCAAATTTTATATGAGTTTGATGTCCTGAACTCAAATATACCGTTAGATTTTGCCAATCAGCTCGCATTTTTGAGATATATCATTTTAATGAAATAAGAAGCGACAATGAGGTGGATGGGGGGCGATGGCTCCTTTACCCTAAAAAACAAAAATCTTTTATACCAAAGTGGAGCAACAAAGCTAGCCCCTGAACTAAAACATCTAAGTTATACCGAAAGATTGACAAAGTTGGGCCTCACAACTCTGGAAACAAGACGTATAAGAGGAGATCTCATTGCTTTCTTCAAATTAACAACTGGAATTGATAAGATAATGTGGTATAAAGAGCCTAATAAAGCTTCTTCTTAGAGACTTCGAGGTCATCCAATGAAATTTGAAAGAAAATTTGCAAAAACAACACCTAGACATAATTTTTTTACGAACAGAGTGATACCTCATTGGAATGCTTTACCTGAAAAAGTGGTTTCTGCAATGACAGTAAATTCTTTTAAAGCTAGACTAGATAAACATTTGTTAACGGTTGTTAAAGTATAAATTTTAAACTTTATGCTCCGCGACAATCGTCGTTACAGCAGTTTGTATTACTATTACTATTACTATTACCTTTTATGAAAATGGTTTTTATCTTTTTGAAAAGGGTTTTGATTGGGATCAAATTAACAAAATAAACATGAAATTTTGATTAAATTTTGATTATTATGCTATAGAAATGTATAACTATATGGTATATTACACTCTATTATATATATAGTTATTATATGTAAAGACAAAAGAAAAAATATTTATGAAACAAACTATAGTTACTAAACAACCCAGAAACTTCTTTTCCGTGGCATTCTTGAATGTATTTTAGAACAATCTCTTTTTAAATTCTAGCAGTAATCCGCCATCATGTGCGTATCCCATCTTCCTTGGTAACGATCCTTTATAGTTTTAATATCTTGGTGAAATCTTTCACCTTGCTCCTCACTCATGTTTCCTTAGTTTTTAGGAAAACGATCTAAATGGCTGTGTAAATAGTGCACCTTAATACTCATATTATATCCGAGGGATTTGAAACTGCTAAGCATGTCGTCAACTAGTTTAACATAGTTTTCATCTTTGCGTTTGCCCAGAAAATTTCTGACAACTGCAACAAATGAAGTCCAAACCTTTCGCTCAGTTTCATTCATTGAATTCACAAAGCCAGAGTCATTAATAAATTGTCTTATTTGCAGACCATCAAATACTCCTACTTTAATTTTTTCTGTACTCAACTGAGGCATCTTCTCCCCTATATATCCAAAACACGATCCGTTTTTATCAAGAGCCTTTACAAACTGCTTCATAAGGCCCAGCTTGATATGCAGTGGAGGAAAAATGATTTTATCTCGTTCAACTAAGGCGTTGTTAATTAAATTATTTTTCCCAACTTCCATGTTTTTTCTCTTAGGCCATTCTTTTTTAGTCCAGTGGTGTGTTTTGTCCCTGCTATCCCAGAGACACAAAAAGCAAGGATATTTAGTGTAACCAGCTTGCTGTCCCAGGAGAAAGTTAACAATTTTTAGGTCCACACAAATCACCCATTGATGTTGCTGATACTTTAGCTTTTCCAAGATTAAAGCAATGGTGTTATATTCTTCTTTCATTTTTGTTGAGTGAGCAATTGGTATTGAACCAAATTTGTTTCCATTGTGCAGAAGAGCACATTTCAAACTTCGCTTTGAGCTATCAATAAATAGACGCCAGTCATCTTGAAAATATTTAGGAAGACTCATCTTTTCTAGGAGTCCTCTAATTTCGTGACAAAATACAAGATCCTCTGCTTGAGAGAAGAAGGGTAGCAGATCCTTTTCTCGTGTACGGTAGAAAGTAATTTTGGTTCCTTGTTCCAGTAAATTTTTGTCTTTCAATCTGGAAGCAAGTAACTCAAAATCTTCTTTTGATAGATTGAGATCTCTGGTAAGGTCATTCAACTCATCTTGGTTGAGTTGTTGTGGAATAGATGCCTTTCCCTCATAATCACTGTCGATTTCATTAGTATCAAAAGAATTAGAAGCACAATATTCATACTCGCAGAGCTCTGGTAGCTGGAGAAAAGTTAGGATTGGAACTTCCTCTGAGTGAAGAACCGGTCGTCTTGCAGATAATAAATCAGGATAAGTCTACTTGCTACGGTTGTTTCGATTGATTCCAGTAATATTTAATATGCAGAAATAACAATCATTGAAATGGTTTCGTGGTTCTCTCCAAACCATTGGCACGCCGAATTTCATACTTTTTCTTTTCCCGGTAGTCCACTGTCGTAAATGTTCTGTACAAGTTTTACAGACCTGATGTAGGGCCCAGGTTTTATCTTGATCCCCAAGCCTAACACCAAAGTATGCAAGATAAGCCCTCTTTAAAAAGTCACTAACCTTTTTTCTGTTTTCTTTTAACATATATTCTCCGCATATGTAGCAAAACACAACAGGGTGATTCACACAACTTCTTCTATTTGAACTCATTTTATCTAGATCTAAATACAAAAATGCAAGAACAATTTACAACACAATACTATTTAGGTTAACTTAACAACAACACTTCAGAAATCACGCGACACCAACTTTCATCTAATCCGCACGGCAACAACTCTCATACTAATCTCAATTATAGTTGAAGTTCACTTAATTTACAGTATGGTTACTCCACCAAGTGGATTTTCCTGTTGCAAACAGACCAATAAACTGAATATATAACAAATATATAGAATACAGTAACCAAACATTGTCTATACGAGTTATAACATTACTAAATGGAGTTAAAACTGTTAGTTTCATGTAAAATCTTAAAAAAATTTATCTAAAAAACTAGAGCTGATAGAGAAAAACTTCAAATTCAGATTCAGCAATAAAAATATAGCTAAAATTAATTATTAAATCTTAGGCACCAAAAAACTTTTTTTTTTTTTTGTAGGCCTGTGTTATTGATTTCTATACAGATTTTAATATTTTTAACTGCATGTATCAACTAACTATTACGGTTAGAAGAAGTGGATATAAATCTAGGGGTTGACTATCAGTCGGCCACAATATATGGTGCAGGGTCTCAATCGACTTTAGTTTGCGCATCAGTTTTCACTCTGCACATCATCTATTTTTTTTAAAGTAATCTATTAAATACTAAAATTATTACAAGTGTTTTCTTAGTAATTCCTAGAATTTTCTTCTATTTTGGAACTTCTGATGCAATTGTTTTCTAATATCTACAATTTTGATTGGTTACCAAAATATGAACAATGTTTTAACTAACCGTCTTTGTACATTTAAGAGAACTTTTCAAATGGTTGATAACAACTGATGCAAAAGTTTTTTATCATTTAAATAATTGGTAAAAAAATATTTTTAGCCTATCATTTAATGATCATAAAAACAACTTCATCATTTGCTTCAAACCATCCAAAAAGTTTTTAAAATTCTTTAAAGACAATCGGTTAAAACAATTAAATAAAATTTTTAACCAATAAAGATTGTAGATAGTAGAAATTGTAAATAGCGGAAAACAATTGCATCAGTTGCTCCAAAACATAAGAATTTTTTGTAAATAAGAAAACAGTCATGTATTTAATCTAACGCTAACTTAGATTCTATGTAAATACGTATATAAAAACTTTTTTAGCTTTGTGTTAACGCAATAAAATTTCATAGCTAACAACATTTGAAGATAGATAAGAAAAAAATTAGTTTAAAAAAAAGAAACGCCAAAAAAAAAACAAAAAACAACAACAAAACATGACATTTATTTTAATAATAAGCTGATACATTTATGAAACTTTAATGCGTGTTCTGCTCTAGGAGATTATTCTCTTTATAGTTAAAAATCTAATACTAAAGTAAGGTATTATTGATAAGCAAAATCTAACAATGAACAAAATCACTTTGTAAAATAAATTCAGTTGCCAAATTTAGACTTCCAAAAGCAAAAAAGATCGAGAAAAATTTATATATATATATATATATATATATATATATATATATATATATATATATATATATATATATATATATATATATATATATATATATATATATATATATATATATATATATATATATATATATATATATCAATTCTGTATAAATCGTCGTTAACAAAAAAAAAAAAAGAAAAAAAAAAAAGAAAAATTTAAATACTATAAAATGGCTAGAAAATGTTTACGAGTAATAATTATTTATATTTTTTATATATTATCTTTTTAGTAATATTATCGATTTAAATATGCAACTAAAATATACATTTTAATTAAATTACCATTAAAATTTTATATAAATCTTTTTTCAATATAATTTTAAAAAAGATTCGTATTACAAAAACAAAAAAAAAAAACAAAAAAAAGTTAAATTATTTTTACGAGTTTAAGTACTAACTATTAACATCAAATTTTAACAATTATTTTATTTTAAATAGCACATTAACATTGTTATTTGATTTAATAAACTGTTATGGATTCTCTGTTGAAATGAATGCAGTTCTAAAAAAGTTTCAATCTTCTCTACCAGGGTTACAAACTAATTACTGTATATTTGAGTACTCAAAAGTACAAAATATTTATTATTACTACAATAATTCACACTATGATTATTTTATTAGTAACACGCAATCCAATACGAAAAGTAAACTCGTACATAAATTGCTTCAGGTATTTAAAAAACATGTAAACAGATCAATCATATTTGGAAGTTGGGTATATAAAACATATAGGATAGATAAGAAACAAATTAAATGAATGAATATAGTAGAAAACATTGGATTTTGACCTAGTAATGTCAATAAATGTTTTGAAAAACATCAAGTCACAAATTAGTAATCATCGTCAGTTCTAAAGTTCATTATTTTAAAGTTCATTATTTTAAAGGAAATTTGTTAAAAAAAGTAATTTATGTGCATACTTACATACATATACAAGTATTATATTTTTATATATTATATTATTGTATAAAATATATTATATTGTTGCATATATATTTTATATACAACAATTTTGCTTATTTATAAATTTTTCATAACTATTAAAAATAAACTACTGCTCATACATCTATACACCAGAAAGTAAATCATTAACTTCTTTATTTTGCTGAAGCAACATTCTACGCTGGGTTTTTCTTCTTTTTAGTTTTCGTTGTAAGTCATCAAGTTGCTTAGCTTTATTGTTAGCTTGAGCCTTTTCAAACTCTTCCACCTCATGTTTGTGTTTCTCCTGAAGGTCTTGGATGTTACCAAATAGTTCAATATCAGAGGGTACAGGAGCTAATTCAGATAGAGGGATGTACTTTAATGCAGGAGGAGCGGGTGCCTTTGCATCAAGTATCTCAGCATTGTTGAAGGAATCTTTATTTTGATCATTAATATAATTATTAGGTATTTTCTCAACTTCTAAATTTGTCATACCTTCTTCAGTCTTTATTTGAGATGAATCAATATCATTTTTTTCAAACTCTAAATTATCATGAGCTGTATATTCATTGGTTGTACTTTTTTCTTCTGTATTTTCATTGGCAACATTTTCATTGGATGTATTTTCATTGACTGCATTTTCATTGGCTGCATTTTCATTGGCTCCATTTTCATTTGCTGCATTTTCATTGGCTGCATTTTCATCGGCTGCATTTTCATTGGCTGCATTTTCATTTGCTGCATTTTCATTGACTAAATTTTCATTGCCTGCATTTTCATTTGCTGTATTTTCAATTGCTGTATTTTCAATTGCTGTATTTTCAATTGCTGTATTTTCATTGGTTATATTTTCATTAACTCTATTTTCAATGTTTTCAAATTTATTTTTATCTTCATCTTTGATATATTCAGCAATATTATCATTCATAATTGAATTAAAATCACTAAGATCCTCTTCAACTATATCAATATCTGGAACAGCAAGACTTGATTCTTGATTGCTTGGCATTGTGATAGGTGCTGATATTTGAACAGAAACATTTTCTTGATGATTTTCATCAGAGTTGCATTTTTCAAGAAATTTAAAATCTATGTTTAAACTCCATTTATGAGCAATTTCTTGCAAGCATCGGATGCGTTCCATTCGTAACTCTTGATATTTTTGCTTGTAAACCTGAACTGCTTGATGATAATCTGCTGTCAATTTCGTATTGATAACCTAATAATATAATTTTTTATCCAACAGTCAAAAACAACAAAAAATAGTTTTATATTATGAAAGTAAAATAATAAAGGTATATAAAAAAAAAAAAATTAAATATGATGATCATTTTAAAAAATTAATTTTTTTTAAATAGACACAATAAGAGATTATTAAATTTATCTATTATTACTAATATAAGTTAATGTAAGATCAGAGAAAAACACTATAAAAAAATACAAAAGTAATGTAACAGAATTTTTTTTTTAAAAAGCTAAGGTTGAAAAGCAAGTCCCTTTAAATAACTCTAATTAAAATTTATTTTTAAATCTGCAGAATAAATAATAATGTTATTTTATTATAAACTTTTAAACAGTTAGTTTAAAAATTAAAATATATATATATATATATATATATATATATATATATATATATATATATATATATATATATATATATTTGTATATTCGAAATTTTTTTTGTCGATGATATCCTATTTTAATTTATAAATAAAAATGAAAAATTTTTTTATCTCTGGTTAACGCCAAAAAATTAATAAACCTGTAAATGATTGCATGCCATTTACTTATGCATTCGAGTATTAAGAATTTATTATTTTACTAGGTAATAGCATAATATTTGAACAACTTCTACCAATTGATTTTAATGATAAGAATTTATTTGCAAAGTAACTTGATTGATATTAAACTCATTTATTTTACTCTAGAGACTGTATTTACCTTTTCAGTAAAAATTTGTGATTTTTTTTTTAAATCATCGAGTTACTTTCATTTTTTCTTCACATTATCTATATAAGCATTAAATGCATATCAGATCATTAAATAAACAATCTAGACTTCTATTATTCAAAGTTCTTTGGTTTAACATCTTTTGTAGACAAAGTGAAAAAAAAACAACAGCGTTACTTTTCATTAAAAACAGAATCAATAAATTATATAAAAGGAAGCTCATTTATTGAGAACCACACCAAACCACCAACTACACCAAACTTTTTTTAAAATGTTAAACTTTTTTAAAATTAAAAACTACAAATCTGGAGTACAGCTCTTGCAGCCAATCTTCAACCTCTGTCACATCGTTGTAATGTTGCTTCTCTTTCTCTTTTCTACAAATACTATAATGGGCACTGCTTTAAAGAGCTAGCGTCTCTTGTGCCATCTACTAAAATTCATTCTCGTGTTACTCCTCATTCAATTAAGTCTCATCCTTTTTCTGTTACTGTTCCTAAGTGCTCCAAAAACTCTTATTCATCTAGTTTTTTTCCTCGAACATCAGTTCTTTGGAATTCGTTTCCTTCATCTTGCTTTCCTGATTCATATAATTTGCAATCTTTTAAGTCGCCTGTCAATCGTTATCTTGCTCTACAATCTTCATCTTTTCTCTTCCAGTAACTTCCAACACTAATTAGTGGTTGCTTGCAGCCTTGTTGGAAGCGAAGATAATTAAAAAAAAAAAAAAATCTATCAACTTTTGAATTTTTACTAGATCGATAAGTTTCCCAAATATTTTTAGGTATCTTTTGCTAAGTCTGCTGAAAACTTTTGTTCCAGTTAGTTTACCTTACTTTGTACAAAAGAGCAATTAACAGAGGTTCATTTGGATTTAGTGTAATATTTTAAAGATTAATTATTAAAATAACTTTCTTCAAGTTCAAACATGCTTTTTGATGGTCAAAAGTAAGTTTTTGCTGCTGGTACTACAGATTGTTTCACAATCATAGAAAAAATGCTTTTCTATAAATTCTTGTATATTATATTGTTTGTTACTTAAGTACTAAATGCATTGCTAAATAAGTTTTCTCTCAATTGAGGTTCATTAGTAGATGAAATATTTCACAAGGCTATCATTTCTTGTACCTAGGGCCATATGCATGTAAAGAATTTGATAACAAGGTAAATTGCTGAGTTTTGATTAGTGCAGAAGTTTCTTTTTCTTGCAATTGTTTTGGAACTATTGTTTTAAGAGTAGACTTATTTCTCAATTTTGCTTAGAACTATTAGTCAATTTCGCTATTTAAGTGTTACAATCAAGTAATACTAGATAAATTTGTTGAAAAAATCTAAGATTACAAATTTTTATTCAAATTTCTCTACCTTTGTTGTCAATTCATTATGAAACCTTATTTTCAAAGAGCGGCCCTAGGTACAATAAGCTAGTAGCTCTAAGTAAAATAAGCTAGTAGCCCTAGGTACAATTAAAAAAAGCTACTTTTGCCTAGGGGCACTAATTTTTAAACCCTTCTACAGGACAGACTTTTATATTTCAACTCAATATACTTATAATAATACAAAGTAATTAGTATAGATCAAATCAGTTTTACCATTTTTTAAGAAGTCTGAGACTATAAAGTTTGGCATTAAAAAAATCCAGCCTTAGGTACCCTTGTTTTTATATTAGTAAATAACTAATAATAATATGCCAAATACATTATACAAATGTTAGTTCTATAAAACAAAACAACACTGGATATAAAAGTTTTTTGAACAAAAAAGTATTTTTAGGTGTGCCCCAAGACCTTTAAACATTTAGTGGGTCCCTAATATTGATAAAAAAAAAAAAATACTTTTTTTTTATTAATATTAGGGACCTATTAAATGTTCAAGGGTCTTCAGGCACCCCTAAAAATATTTTTTATTCAAAAAACTTTTAAATGCAGTGTTGTTTTGTTATATAGAACACATTAAGGTAAGAGCTGCAGATGTTTTTCAAAGATTTTGTTTTTTGAACCAATTTATTATACATTAAGATACAGAGGTAAATTCAATACAAAGTTAGATTGCTCATCAAGGTACAAAGATACATTGTTCAAAAAGATATGAAGATGCATTTTACATTAAGATACGAAGAACATTGTACAAAAAAATCTAAAGATACATTTCTAGTAAAAGGATTGTTTAACTATGTTATTTTAAAAATAACTTTTATTACTTTATAAATATAAAAAAATTATTTACATTATCAGTCCATTGTAACTGCACAGCTAGTCGGTAATGGTAATATTTAAACCATAAAAGAGCTCTGTTGAAGTTTTCTTTTATCATGACA